TATATATAAGATTATATATAAAAATCTCATGCAAATATTTGCAGAGAAAGGTTTGGGACTTTTTTGCAATCCTCTGTCAGTGTTATGCAGCCTGTCATATATCATTAGCAAGTATTAAGAACCAGATTGTGTGCAACTAAATCTTCATACCTATATTCTGGCAGTTATCATTTACTGATTTTAATGGAATATGAGTACAAGTCAGAAATGTGGTGAATCTCTACTGAGTTTCCAGTTTTCACTTCAAGTGAAATTTTAATTTATTTATAGAGGAAAGACATGAGAGATATATTTAAGTTCTCCGGGACATATTTTTAAGGTGTCACTCTGATTTAATTAGCTGATGTGTTTAGATTTCACTACAGGCAGAAATAGTTTATTTCCCTTCATTTTGCCAAATTTTTCAACCAAGTGGCACTTTCATAGCACTGTTTAAAATAATTGAACCAATGCAAGCGAATATAGAAATCCTTCCTCGCTGTTCAAGCTCCAACGTGATGGGCTCCACGAGCTTCACTAGAAGAAGAAACAATTGGTTCAGCTCCAGCTAAAGTCCTGAGCTCTTACTGACTTTTTTTCCCCCTTAACTGGTGGTACAACCGTGCTTTTGTACTCACTTAAGTTCAGGGTCTTCTTTTTCTTCCTTGGTAGGAGTCACTTTAATACCCCCTTTCCTGGCACGAGGACAACCAGACAAACTGAAAGAAGCACACAGAGGAAAAGCCACCTCTTTCTGCTGCTGCTTGCCGAGAACCCCGAGCGCTGCAGCCCCATACTGGGGCTGGGGTGGTTTTTACCTTCTGTGGGATGCGTAGTTCCCCGTCACGTGGCCAGAGCCATCACAACCAGGTGTTGGGCACCTATAAAGTAACACAGGAAGCTTACAAAATACAGCTTCAAAGGTACACAGTAAATAACCTGTACCTTCTGTGTTTTCTCTAGGGTGGAAGAAAGAACAGCAGAGATTTTGTTGAATAATTAAAATTAGTTCTTGCTTTTTTTTTAAAAAAATGAGCAGACTCCTTTCATGTTATTTTTTTCTTCTATAACAGAGTTTTAGTGAGGAGTGTGAAATATATTGCATATGATGTGTAGATTTAATTAGTTTATAACACTATTTGCACCAAACATTTTTCCTTGTACAAGATCAACATTACAAAAAAAAAAAAAAAAAGGCAGCTTGATATAGATCTGTTTGTAAATTTACTGTTATGTGTGTGTTTGTTATTCTTCTGATGTTTTCAGGTACAGATATAAATAAACACTCTGCCAGTATTTACAGAAAGGGAAACAGAAGCAAAGAAGCAATTTTACTTTTGGGCATCAATAGATGATAGCCAGAATTTGAATTTAACAATTTGTGTATTCTAGCACTGTAAGCATACAACAGGACCATATCTTGCTAGCACTAGATTCACTTGGGTATTCAGCCTGGCGATTGGATTACGCTTATGTCTCATAGTTAAGGGGTTATTGTGTGTGTATGCAACAAATAAGCCTTTTCAAGTGTGAATGTTTAACACTAAACCATCCATAAAATAAAGAGAAATAAAAAACCTGCCTGTTACTGTGTTTTTGCCAGTGGTCTGAGAGGGCGGGCTTCTTACATGCTGGTTGTACTTGAAGGATGTGCTCCAAAAGCCTACTGGAGTCAGTAGGTCTTTTCACTGACTTCTGTGGGGTTTGGAGCAGGACCTTGCTGGCAGCACCTTCTGTCTCAGAATTTCAGATATTGTTTCATTTTTTATTTCATTTAAGGGTATTGTATTACTTGTGTGGTTTTCTGATTTGGTTTGGTTGTTTGGTTTGGTTTAAGAGAAGAGAAACACACCTCAGCACACAAAGCAGCATGAGCAAAATATTTTCTTTTAGAAGTTGTGCCAGCCATTTCTATGTTTCTGTATTATACAGCACAAAGTTCTTATGCTAAGCATCCCTAAGGGGTTTTTGAATGCTATGATTTTTACAGAGTTTTAGAATTACAGAAAGAGTTGTGCCAAATAATGTACTGAACCACTAAGGAAACTTGCATTTTTTAATAGTCTCTTAAGGGTCTCAGTTGTTACTGAATCTTTCTTGAGGTGAGGAGATGGATGATTTAATCTAGTGAATGGTAGGCTGCCATGGAAAACACCTACAAATAGAATTGTAATTCACAATATCACATCTGAGTGTGCAGGTGTATCTCTTCACAGAATATTTAAAAGTATTTGTCTGTGAACAATTAATTTGTCAAAAATGTGATTTCTTTTGGATATGACCAAATTTATTCACTGATTCAAGTAGAATTCAGCAAATAATTTCAACTGAAGAAGGGGGAGACTTTTTTTTTAAAGGCAATGTCAAAACATTTCATGATGACATTTTCTGAACAAAATATTATGACAGAATGACAGGTCTCACATTGACAGCAAAGGTAGAGGTGTGAGGTGCAGAGAGCCAGATACACCCGACTGTGTAGAGCTAAATGTTGACCTGAATGTGGGACAAGGACTGGGCACAATGTCATGTGAGGCAGGCAACAAGGGCAGATGCCTGGAGAGTGTGAACTCTCATAAGTAAGTCCGGAACACCTGCCAAATAGTATAGGTATTAATTTTGGCTACTTGTTTTATCAGGTGATCATAGATGGAAGAGCTGTAGACTGGATGTGGATTTTAATTCAGTAAGAGCTCTTTGTAAGAGACGTTCCGATCATGAGTCTGAGAGTTATGGTCTTGAAAAAGACACTTGACTAAATTTAAATCTCCCCATCCATATTTATCACTTCTGGCAGCAGTTGATATTTCAGGTGGCCTACTGACAAATTAGTAAGAAGCTTCACTAGGAAGACTTCTAAGCTTGACCACTGGGTTGGGTTTTCCGAATATTGGTTATATTTTTGCATCAGTTGTGAAATTCCACATACAAGATACACTAATGACGTATTATCTTACAGTCAGTAGTACTGTTGATCTTCATCAGCTTTTAACTGGCTGATGAGCTTGGACTGGTGCTCCTCCGTTATGGATTCCTGGTGCAGAGCCAAGGAAATTGGATTTACATTGGAGGGCCAGAGGCCTCCGGAGCTCAAGCGAAAGGATGTCAACTCTCAAGTGATTGTAGGTTACAGACGCTTTTACAATTCATCAAGGTTTTTTTTACAATTCATCAAATTCTTGTAACTGTCTGTCGAACACCTGCTATTTTGTTCTGCTCTCCAAGAGAGTTCTTTAGGTAGATGAACTACAACTGCTCATAAAATTGATGCACTAAGCTGCAGATCTAGGAGCGTTTCTGGTACTTTCACTCCCTAGAAAGCTCACAGGGATGGTCAGATATGAACTGTAGTTAAAACAAACTCACAGAGGTCAGCTGAGAAAATTGTTGACTGAAATATATCATGCTGCCTATGGAATATTGATCAATATCAACCTGTCATGTGAAACCTATCTAGAAGAACTGCTAGAATCTCTCCTAAAAAATTGACATTTAACCACTGCAACAACTTGTCTAAGAATAGGAATGACTACATATTCCTTAAAATTTCTGAACTGTAAGTAAACATATTTCTAAAGTACGTTTTTAAAATTCTTTAAGGCTTGATAAGTAGCTCTTTGACGAAAGAAGATAATAAGTCATAATTCTCTCTTATAGCTTCAAAATCTATGAGTCATCATCAAGTTTAAAACTTTGGTTTTAATTTGACCACCTTAGACTGATCTGTGCAAGCAAGAATCCTCAGATAAAAAAATTCTTGAATCTGACTCAAAGGCTCACTTTCTCAACAGATCTTCCTTATTTCCAAACTGTAGATCGCATGGAAGCCTTGTATCTTTGCTGGCTTAGAGTTTCATAACTGAAGCCAAAATCATATCTTGATTCTGGCAAATTAAACATGAATAACATTTGGAAAAAATACACAGCTTTTTCATATTCATGCCTAACTACATGAGGGTACTTTCATGGCCTGATTCTATGAGCATTTATGCCCTCTGCTCACACAGCAATAGTAAAATTAACTATTGATATCACTGTACTATACCATTGCAGGCACGATTGCAGTTTTTGGCATATAATTTCATTTAGCCAGCACTTAATAAAAGCAGAGGTTTGTTTAAAATTTCACCTGAACAATGTTCGCAGGAAGCTAAAATAAGGTGGTACGTTTGTGGAAAATAATTTTATGTAGCCCTTTTTCCTTTTGCAAATTGTCTGTGAACAGATTTAGATTTTTGCTCTTTTTCTAGTTAATTGAAATTAAATGCTAAGTGCGTTATGCAACATATTTCTGTCTGTGAAATGTTCATGAACTTTGACTTTGTCTTTCACAACTCACTTATTATACATGGCGTACAGTGTGCAGTTTGTCATTTAAGTCATATGCTGTTGCTCCTCTTTCCTTATGGCATGACCAAAACTCTAGAAGCTCTAGTGGAAAAATAACCATATTGCTATGCAAATTTCCTTATTCACACATGAATATGGGAGGGGAGAGCTGCATGAGGAGCAACTATTCAAAATATTTGAGTGTCTATGTATGGCAGAAAGCCAACAAAAGCAGGGACAAATATATATGACTCAGCAAATGATTTCAAATTTGTCAGCATTTTTGCAAGCCAGTTCCTTGCTTCTTGTGCTGCTCTTTTAAAACAAACTAAACCTAAGTTTTATACTTTTGAGACTCTGAGATGGAAAAACTGAAGCACTGCGCCAGTGTGTCAGTTTACCTACTGGCTTTGGGAACTGCTTTGAACAGTTGCCCATATAAATGGCCTTTCTTTGCCATTTTACTGCATCTCCAGCAGGTTCAACTCTGTAACTACCACCAGTTCAGCATTTGGTTTGTAATTCAAGTTGTCAGACTAGAAGATGAGACCGCTAACATTTCATCTGAAGAAGCTAACTTGTGACTAAACACTGAGTCAAGCCTAAATGTAGTCACTCCTACTATTAATGCCATTAGAAAAGCATAATAGTGCCATCATCAGATTTTATTTTCCTTTATCTGGACTGGGGATGAACCTAAAGGACAGAAAGGACAGTCACAGGATTCTCCCCATTTACACGCATTCATGAGTTTTTCCAAGCCATCTATTACAGGATCCAATTTACAAGTTGCAGAGGGAAAGCTATGAAAGAACTCTAATTATCCTTTCCTCTTCCCCACATCCTTATTGACAAAGCCAATTCAACAACTAGATGACTGGTTGCCAGTGCCTCTCTTGACTACAGATTTTTGAAATATTCATATGTCCCTATACATCTGTCTATATAGCAGAGCCTGCACAGTCCTTTTGTAAGTGACATTTCATGGTGAGAATTATGCCAGCACAAAATCGTATGACTTGATGTCTGCTTCAGTGACATTAAACTCATAGTATGTGGTAATGAATGACAAAAAATTATTTGTGGGAGTTCTGGTCTCGTTTTTAGATTTATTCTATCTAGATTTATTTCTAACTAAATAATTCTAATTTATTCTAACTGAATCAGACTGAGTTATTTGCCAGATCTGTTCTTACATGTTAGACATTTTCTATTTCTCCCTGATTGCAAAATACTGTGAGAGCAGCATCTCTTGGTGTTTACAATTTTTTCCTCCAGGTCCTGGTTAATTCATGAAAATGAAGGGGTACAAAAATGAAGAAAGACAAATGGACAAAAGTAAACTATTTCACTCAAAAGCTTTCATACCAATTCATTTCAAATTTTGGACAAAGGTTTGATGTAACTCAAAGCAATTCAAATAAATGACTGCATTAATGTAGGGAACATGTTGATCAAAGATAAATAATAACATTTGTGCTGTTATCAATACTTACTTAAGCTCCTGAGAGTTAGCAGCCATAAGGGATTTTAATGTCTTGTCAGCTAATGGGCACCCAGAAACACTGAAAAAAGAATGATGTGAAATGTTTTACTAAAACAGAACTTTTTTTTTTTTTCTTAAAACAGCAACCTCCAGACAATTTATGACTTAGGGAAAAAAAGAGATCCTCAAATATTTGCTCTTGGCAGAGTAGGAACAGCCAGTATCAGGCTGTAGTTCTTAAATTACTGGAAAGATACACAGTCAGGGCCAAAGGTTTCTAAGCCCCTGTAAAGCTTTGCATGGGGAGGCAGTTGTACACAGAGTTCTTCCTTTATATTGCCTACATGAAGGACAGGTAAAGCATCTCGTCCACGTGGCTGGGAAAAGGCAGAAACTGCTTTTATCCTGCTTCCTAAAGGAAAGGCAGCTTTCAACCCTGAGGTTGACAGTAGGCTATTCTGAGAAAAATATCTAGCATCCTCAGATTGTGTTCACAGATCTATGAATTTCAAAGCCATTCATAGAGATATCTGCAGAAACTTCATTAAAATCTCATGCATCAGCAACTGTATAGTGTGTGTACACTTAGGGAAATGAAAACTTTACTAAATGACTTATATATACATCTCAGATAAGACATGCAGCTGTAGTAGTAAGCATATGCTGCTTAACTCCATCAGTCTATCGAGCCCAAGCCTCCACAAAATAAAACAAAACCATGAAAACCAGTCACATTTCTGTAGGGATTATTTTCTGCAAATTACTTTTTAATTCTTATCTGTGGTTAGTATAAAAATGTTCGAAGATGACAATAGCTAAAAGTAGCTCTATTTCCTGCTTTAGGCTTCCTGTTGATTCTTACCTGCGGTGTGATGCATAGTTTCCTGTTACATGACCGCTACCATCACATCCTGGAGTTGGACAGCTGTGTAAAGATGATGCAATGAGAAATTAGAGTATGTACAATACACCACATAGCTCACTGTTCTCTTCAGTGAATTACATAATGATCCTTTGGGCAATCATATCCATCATTATAAATCTCAAAGCTATCATGACATTACAGAAAACGAGCAAAACTTACACGGTACTTCTAGTTTACAATCATTACTTGAAGCATAGATGGAAAAAAATTTTCCTATTTCCACCAAGCAAATGAGTCAAAACCTTATTTTTTCTTTTTTTAATCTATATAATGTGAAACCAGCATGCTTTGCTTAGATTTTTAGACTTGAGTGCTTAAAAGGACAGTTTCATTACTGGTACCAAATTTTGACAGATATTCATAAATGTTAGGGATGAAGTTTCTGATCTGACCTCCTGTATAACACAGGCCACAGAAGAGTAATATTCAAAACAATTCCCTTAACTTCTGACTAAAATAAGGCACCTTCTTTAGAAACATATCCAGTCTTTATTTGCTGACATAAGTCAAAAATTGGGTGTTACAGTTGCTTGCAGAACAGAAAGCATGTCAAGCTCCCACAGCTTAAGTTCAGAATGAGCACAAAAGTTTCCCAAGATGTTTCTCAGCCGAACTGAGAAGCGATACAAAGGTGCTGTACATTTAGCACAACAAATATGTCCCTTTATGCCAAGAGATGGAAATATATTTGACCCGGAGAAGATGTTATAACTTCTGTTTTTCCTCAACCCTTCTTCAGTCATAGCACTGAATTCATTTATCAAATTGGGATACAGTCCTCTGCAAAAGGGCAGATATACCAAGAAATGCAATTTGTGCGTGGAGGGGGAGGGGTGGGTGAATTAAGTATACTTTTCTACAGTATTTTACAACACTAAGACCAACCCTTCAGAGTCACCTTGTTAAAGGACTGTATCGTCCTTCACTGGACGCATGGATAAGAAGGGCAAGCAGAAACTGTACAAAAACTTTTAGTTGGTGCTCCATAGTAATGAGGAAGGGGTACCTGAGATCCTCACCTGACAAATTTCTCTGAGCTAGCAGAGTGCTAGGAACTTTTTCAAATCTGTAAAGAAGCCTTAGGAAGACATCAGCCTCATTTCCACAGCCCAGTTCAACCTGAGCAATGTAGTTATGAGCAAGAGAATTAACGTGAAAAACTAGAAAGCACATGCTAGGAGGTGGTTTTTATAAATTAGTTCACTGCAACTGAGCTAAGCATGTAAGAAGTTTTTTTGCAAGTGATTATGTCATTTTAAAAACTTCCTCATGATGGAGCCACCTGTATTGAATTGTTCTGTACAAGTTCTGAGCTCAAATAGATCATAGAAGTGCAGTCTGTTCCCTATATTACCATAGATTCTTCTGATAAATTAAAACTTTTTCTTAATGGATTTTCTAGACAGCTACATTTTAGATACTTGTTTCTATTCATTGTTTGAAAATAATACGGTAAAACCACTATAAGCTGATCATTGCCCTTGTAAATACTCTGGGAATTATTATTTAGGACAGTAGAAAAGTATTTTGCAGACATCTCAAAACAGGTCAATATCACAAAGGAATAAATATTACAAAAGAAAAGCCATTAGTCTTCAGCAAATAAACTCTCCGTGATTTTTTGTATGCATTTGTTTTAGAAGAGGCATAACAAACCTGACCTGTAGCAATTTAGGTCATGAACTACAACTGCAGATATAATGTGGAGAGTAGACAACATGCAGACGGCACGACATTAGGAAAAAGAATCACTTTTCACAGCAGCTTGCCCCAGGGAAATGTAGTTTCTAGAGACAAGAGGCAGACCTAACTGGTTCAATGCCACTGAGTCTGGGGACCAGGACATGAGATGACAGGATGAGACTCACTTATTTATGGGTAAGTCTGCAGTGATACATTATGGACTATCATCACTAACTGATACAGAGTGCACTTGTCTAGAGAGACCTACTCTGGTTTGGAACAGAAAGAAAAGTGATATAAATGCTTGCTAATTCCTAGTTGACTACTACAGTGAAAACACTCTATTGATGTTATAAGCTGGTTGGGACAATTTTACTGAAAGGATTCTAAACTGAAACAAGCTGCTGCATGCAGAAAGATTTAACAGAATTATCCTGTTTCCTTTGTAGTTTTTGATAGTAAAGTTTTGGAGCTTAAGACAGAGCGAGTGAGTCTCTGTACTTGGGGGAAGAGAATATTATTCTGTTCGTCAAGAGTGTGAATTTGTGCATCCACTGAACTTTCAGCAGGACAGAATAACTAACTCGCTTTGAAGGAAGCAAATGAAGGACTTAAACACAGATTTTGTACAGGTTGGAAATCCCTAGGGCAGCTTCTGTCTTGTGTTTTATATTTTTATGAACTTTGCATGTTTCCTATCTGAGAAATTCTCAGCATTTTTCTTCAAACTATCTATAGTTTATAATGATCTATAACAACGATAGTCCAAATAAAGTTCATTTAAATATCTGAACATTAGTACAGCCAGTCTGTAGCACACTACAAAACTGTGTGTTTTGAAGAAGGAGCTGTTGCCTATTTGTTACCTATCTGTCTGAAGAATAAGGAGTGATACCCAGTGTAACATTTGTCATGAATCTGTCCAGACCCCCAGGCCTACCCTGGCTTGTTTCAGCTCCAAACTTCATGTCTACCCGGTTGCATAGACACAACAGAGACTTAACTACCGGAAGTGAACTGACTCTTCTCAGCTCTTGTAAATCTACTCCAAACCAGCCCTCAGAAAAACGATGTGGTCAGTCTTTAGCAGCACAGAGGAAAACATGGCATTTTTTGTGACTCACGTGATGAGTTCCTTTTTGAGATCTCTTGAATGGAGCTTGGGTTTAGGACTTGGTATGGAGACATCTCCTGGATACTTCTTTTCCTCCATGTTTTCTGGAGAGCTCACTGGATCTTTCTGAAATGTTAGACGAGAATGTGACAAAAGGTTTCTCTCTTCAAGGCCTCTCATATATTCAACAAATAACTTGCTGCAGCAAGAGGAGCATCTCTTGGAAAACATTAAAAAAAAAAAAGGTCTTAAGAAATGATGGAGATCAAGAAAGTTTAGTACATCATAATTTCAGGATCACATAGGTAGACTTTTAAAAATATTGAACTATATATTTGTGAAAGTATTTCAGAAGGTGGATGCTGTTTTCAGCTGTACATAGGGAAAATTTGGTTTAGATTTATAAAATAGTGATAACACTATTTATACACAAATAAAAACAGTTGAATATATAGAGCAAAACAAGACTTCAACAAGTATACTCTTGTTTTTTCTGTGCAAATACACCACTGAGTTTTGTATACAGTTGAAGTGAGTACCACTGCACAGTGAATTACAAAATTGCAATCATAAATTAAAAAAACTTATTGTACATAAACAGATGTAAATACAAATCTTTTTAGGTCTGTAGAATGGAATGACTTATTATTTTATCCAAAGAGCAGAGTCTTGTTAAAATAAAAATCATAAAAATAAACCACTTTAAAGTTTTCTTAGCAGCATGCTACTAGGAGTAGTTCTTGCTTTCTGCTATTTGTAGATTAAAATCTTCACTGCTACAGTGCTGTTTGGTGGATGGTATGGACCATGAGTGTTCACTGCCTTGGGAAGGCGTTTTGGAAATCTGAAGTCCTGAAAGGAAATCGCATATTTGTTTTCTGAAAAATCTTCTTTGATCACTTCAAAATAGCTTGATTTATACTGTTTTGAGGATTAATGCCTTCGATTATTATTATTATTATTATGAAGGATAAGTATTTCCTTTCCAGAGGGATGCTCTGTGGACGCTGAATTCAAGAATTCTCCAAAGTCCATAGCATCAATTATCAAATCTCTATTAATCCCTCCTGGGACTTCATGTTGATTTCGGGACTCCATTCCAAAACTCATGTAGGTATCGCCCAGAGCTTACTGTCTGTAGGAACAGAAACTGTTGTCTGTGGTTGAGGGGAGAAGCTCCCAGCTCCTGCTAAACTCATGGGGTTGGTGCCATAGATGCTCCAGGCTTGTGCAGCTGATGAACGTGCCAGGACAGAGGGACAGGGATGTCTGCAGAGCTGTTAACACAGAGCAGAGGGCTGAGGAGAATCTGGACTGAAAATGGAGATTCTGCCTAACGGGACTTGTAAGCTCTGCGGGGGTGTTTCTTCTGATAAAGCTTCCATATGGTCCTCAATTCTGGCAGCTCATCTTTGCCTGTTTGGAGACTAGATCCTCAATATGACTTCCTTCTGCTTTCTGGTACTGGCTACCTACTGCCTACTGAAACTCACACTACACATTCATATAGAAACCATGCCATATTATTGCTATATCAATTACTACGGATTTTTGCAACCATATTTGTGGGGTTTGTTTGGGAATAATCTCATCTGCTACAAATATAGAAAGAAAAAATCCATGTATTCAGCTTTTCTAAACACTGTCATAGTAATTTTCAAGTAATTATTTTAAATTAAAAAAATCTCTGATATATTTCAGGCTTTAAAAATTTTATTTCTAAAGAAAAATTTCAGATAAGGAGTAAGAGAGAAAATTAAAACCCATCATAGGTATTGCTAAAATGTTAGTACAGAAATAATAAATAGTTGAAAGTCCTCCAAACATGGAAACTAAAATGCTAAAAAACAAAAGTGGAAAAATTAGTGCCAGCTTTGTTCAAGATTCAAGAAACCTCAAGGACTATTTTCCAACATTGAGTTAAATCCTGGTTCCAGTGGCATATGGGGGTGTTTTTGCCACTGCAATCTGCAGAACGAGGATTCAAATTCCTGACTCTCTCTGTCCACAAGTTCTGACTTGCCTTTCTTATATACACATAAATGCAAGTTCCTACAGGAATCATCACCAGTGTAAGTCACTGTAAAATCAAAAGCTCCCAAACGAAACAATAAAATGGTGACCCTCTGTTGCCAGCTGGAAGGGGTCAGATGTCAAAATAACTTCAAAAAACCCCTCTGGCACTACACTGGGATCCTGAGCCATGTGATGCACTTGCAGCAAACAAGTGTATCTGTAACTGTTCATGCTGCAGGACTTGTTAATATTTTCAAATACATAGCTTGTGTTCTTTATCTTAAATGAAAGATATCTCTTCATCTTTTGCTAGTGATGGACTTGCTAGAAATTTATGTGTGTGAGTTATTCATCATGTCACAGTCTGATACCTGCTGCACAGAAAGGACTGACTGAGAATTATGTATATCAAGACTTGACAAAATATTACAGTATTGCAGTTCACAGCTTCATTTAATAACATATCACTGAATCATTTAACAAAAATAAGATTGCAAGATGAAGGTTGACATGAGTACATCTACATCCACCAGCACAACTGGTAGCAGACAGTTTAGAATTGCAGAATTTTCATTTTCTATCTTTGAAATAATTCTGTTTTTGAAATCTCATTCCTGAGTTTCCTGAATTGACTTTTACTCAGATTTGCAATTTTTTTAAACCAGTATCTGTATACACACGTGCATAAACAAACACCTACAATTTCATAGTAACTGCTCTTTCGACAAAGAAAAGATCTAATAAGCACCAAAGTGGGAATACAGTTTGTTTCCTACTTAACATCCATTAGTATATTTCCCAGGAATGAGTGAGACATATAGGCATTTAAGCAGGTGATTTCTTCAGCATTGTCTTAGCACCTTGTGGAACTCTTGGTATTATTCTAAGAGCATGAAATCTTCAGATGTGTAGAAGCCACAAAAGGAAGACAGTGCAAAGCGAATGCAGGCAAAGGAATACTGAAATTTTGCCTTTCTAGGACCTTGCATCGGTATGTGTGGCCCAAAATGGGCCACATCTGTCTGAAATGAGTAGGTCAGCTGTAAAGACTAAATATTTTTTGGTCCTTCGCGCTTAGGACTGAGAGCAAAGCATCATGCCTTGGCTTGTGTGTTTCTCCAGTGATTTAGCTTTACAGGGGGAAATAATCCTTTGGGAAAACTACTTTAGCACTTCTCACTGTTTGGTCCGTTAGGTGATGACCATCACGGCTAGTCAAGTCCAACCGTAGGTATAATTTTTCCTTTCCTATCTGAACAGATTTATAACTAAATTTTATCAAAATTCTGAAGAATTCCAGACCAAAAGGAAAATCAGAACCAGCCCAATAAGTCCAAACACTACTATTTTCTGCAACGAGCATGTGTGTATTCACGCATGCACACTACAGAAAGCAAGCAAGCAATGAAACTCCGTTAATGTACAGATGGAAGTTTATATTGGTTTCAGCAAAGACCAGAACATAATGGTAACATGAATAACAGATAATAGCATCTGGCACTTTTAACATTTTTAAGCCCTGAAATCTTTGGAGAACTGACAGTTGAACTAACTGACAGCTCTAGTTATTTCTCGGCGCTTTCCTTTTGGAGAGATTTTGAGCTTTTTCCAAAATCAGGATTTTTTTTTTTAAGGGGGCATCTGGACAGGCTATTTCACTGAGAGAGAGAGAGACAATATTTTCTGAAAATTACCACCAAAATTAAGCAACTGTTGTGCATATGAACCAGATAACAATGAATTAGAAATAGATATAATCACTCATTTTCTTCGCATGAGGATAACTGCCAGTCTTCGATTTGCAAAACAGAGCCTCTGGCCCTGAGATCACTGGACACGTCAGCGCTCCCTGGGATGGCAAAAGCTCACAGCAGAAGTCTGGGGCCAGATCCTCAATGATAGACGAACGGCACAGTGTCAAAGCACCAAGTGCCAGGGGCGAGAGCGCGGACCTTTGTGTCCTGTCGGGTAGTCCGCTGATGCCTCCAGCTCCCTGCGCTGGTACGTCACGGCCTTCTGGAAGCCGAGCAGGGACCGGGAGGGATGCGGAGGTGCTCCTGCCGTAGCTCTTCCACGGAGCCACAGCAGCAGCGGGGAGGAGGAGCAGCAGAACAGGCCCCCTGCCAAGTCTGCCACATTGACCGATCCCCTGCAGCAAGGCGGTTCTCTCCAAGCTGGGTGTGCTTGCTCATTATGCGGCATGAATGGGGAAGAGCCTGAGTAGCCTCAGCCTACCACCCCATGTCTAACCTGCACCAAAACCCTGATACGGTGCTCTTGTTGCTGAGAGGGAACAGCAAAGTGCCCTTCAGGGCAACCCAGCCTCCGCGGAATGATCCTCCATGGTGCAAATTCTCTCAGAGGTCTCATTACCACCCAGTCCTGACAGACGTTTTTTTCTTCACACAACTGAACTATCTTTTATTTCCAGGTATTTTTGGAATTGGAGGCTTGGATCCTCTAACCTCAACCCTAAACGGATTTTACCTTTGTCTAAGTCTTCTTGAAGTGCCAGTCTCAATATTTGAACAAAAGATAATTTTGTAATAAATGTAATTTTCAAATGCTGTTATTTGATATATAAAACCAAATAGGGAGTAAATGTATTTGAAGTTGAATAGAATCTCCAGATTGGGAGATCTTTTATTCTGCTGGAGAAAGCTATCACTCAGGCTTGTCTATGTTAATTACCAAGATTTTATCTAATTAGCCTTTAAAGGTGCTGACGGCCCCTTCTTGATTTCACAAAAATGCAAGCGATCTATATTCTGACAACTACAGAAAAAAGTAAAAGCAAACTAGACAGCAAAAATAGAAGTATATGAAAGAAAGACAGTAGGAGACTATGCTGCCATGTTGCCAAGATAGGGGAAATGAATATGAAAGAGAAAAACAGAAACAAAACTAAAATGAAGACAATTATCGAGTTCGAAGTGGCAGCCTAGAAGATCAGCCATAAAAGTTGGAAAGTTACTAAATAAAAGTATTTGATGAAATTTTAGTTCCTCATCTTTGTTCCCGCAATTCTGTTTTCAAGTTTGGGATTTACATTTCCTAGGACAGGTAGAAAAGGGAAGACACCTGTACATAATCATCTAGTTTTTCTATGCTGTTTGTTATGGAATAAAAAATAACACAATTGGTGGAAATTATGTACATATCTTCTTGTGCTACTTGTTGTAGCCAAAACCTTCAGGAATTCCTAACAATTTTTTATTTGGGAATTTGTTATCTGAGACTGATTTCTGGACCATGGACTACTAGACTCACTTGTCAGATCTAAGACTCAGTGGCAGAGAGTTCTTGAAGTTTGTTAAATATAAAATAAAAAGCTTTCCACTGAAAGAATATTGCAGGTAAGGGTCTAAGTATGGGTTTAAATACTTACATAATGAGTTATGTAGAATTATAAAGAGTTGGTGTGGAAAAATTACTTTTTGTTTCAGCATGAAAAAACCTGTCTTGATTTGGTTTTATGGGGTATGTGCTACAGGACTGAGCCATTAGGAATAAAATATAAAAAGCAGTCTCTTATGGTGAATACCTTTGATTTTCTTGTCTTAGAGACTCTGACATTCACAAGTAGGCTCTGAGAGCAAAATTTTTCAAAAAGTGAGTTGTGTTTTTTTTTATGCCATATCCAAGAGGTCGTTAAAGCCAGCTCAATGTTCACAAACCTCTGCCTGTGGAAATTGATTCCCTTTATACTGCACTAGATTGGTTATCCCAAAGGGATGGCCACTCATCCAAGGGAAAAAGTCGCTCAGAAACTGAAAAAATACCTCTTTTTCTTCTTCTTTCCTGCCATGGGTTTTGCTGTAGTTGATTGGTGTATCCCAGCCTTCCTGTTCACAAAGAGCTTGGTAGAAGGCTGCATTTACCAGGATGCTGCTCGTTTTGAAAGGAGAAGAGGAAGGAGTGGGAAGTGCTGTGCTGGAAGAAGTGAGAGGCACAACTTTGTCTTGGCTTCGGTTCTTTTTCATGCTCAAATCCAGAGTGCCATTTTCATCCACTTCTATCTCAGTTCCCTGACATGCAACAGGAGAGAGAGACATGTTTAGATATGGACATGGTGAGGCTGCTACATAACCATGTGGTGCTTTTAAAGGATAAATATAAATGCACGCTTTTATTTAAATTTATCTGAATCTAAAACCAGCTTTTCGATTTATATCAGTTAATGTCCAACTCTTAGGCAGACTTAAGAGTAGCTTCAGTAATGGTATCCCTGCATCTCAGCTTAAACATAGTAAGTAGAATTTAAATAAGATGCCTGTAAACCGTAACCTATACAATCTAAATCTAGTTTTATTTAAAAAAAGTTTAGCTTTAAATCTTCTTGATCTTTTCACTCTTACAGAGAACTATGACCCCAATTCACAGTTAAAAGCATTAATGCATTGTTTAGGTCATCAACAGCATTACTATTACATATCCTCCCTTCCCCCCACACCCCGGAAACATTACAACATCTGCATCATGAGGGGGGAAGAAATATGCCTAAAAGAAGCACAGTAGGAGAAATTTTCACTAAGGTTTTGTATATCACTCAGAATAACATCTTTCCTTAATCACAGTTTAACTTGGAAATCACCTTTTGGAAGATTTGGCACAAAATGAGGGCCCAATTAAGCCACTAAGGCACAAGTTTGCACCAAGACCACTAGACTGAGAGCCACAGGAGGGTCTTTAGGAGGTTCTCCCTGATGGGAGACCCTCAGCATGAGTTAACAAAGTCTTGGCTACCTGAGAAGTACAGCAAACAGCCACCTCTGATTGCAGGGGTGTCTACAGTTTGGAGAGAGACCCAACTTCTCTTTCCAGGCTGGGAGAAGCTCTCAGAGCAGCTCCTACTCACAAAAAGGGGCAAGCGTTGCTCAGCTGTACAAGAGCAAGGAAAGGAATGTGGAGAAATTTTCCAGCTGCTGCAGCATCCTGTGAAAGTTCTTTCCCCATGCAGGCTGGCTGAGAAACACCTGTAGCTTGTTACACTGGGAAGGTTGTTTTGAAATATGTGCTGTAGCATTCAGCCAATCACTCTGGGAGGTGGATGGTCAAGCAACCAATAGCCTTAACCCATCTGGTGAACCACATGATTTGTAATTAATTAAGGTGGGCCATTTACTCCTAGAAGGTGGGGTGTTTTTTCCTAGAAGCAGGGCATTTCTCTCCTGGGTGCTGGAGGTGCATTGGCCTGCGTTGGAGCTGCAGCCTGAAGCTCTCTTGTTGCGACAAAGGAAAGCTCACTGTTCTGCCTTACACTATCTGATCACAGAAAAAGAGTACAAACTCCTCTTCTTGGATGAAAAGCTTCTGAAAGTGCAGCTTACTAACAGAAGCAATAAAAAATTTCCCCTCATTCTCTATAGCATGTTGTGAGGGTTCACCCTGAGCTTTTTCTGCACTGAGGGACAGTATCTTTCTTTCTGCTTCTGGGCACAGGCCTGAGTAGACATCTGTCCACATCATCCTATAAGAAGCTGATAATCTCACAGTCACCTATTGATGAGATCCTGTTCCCTTGTCCTCTCCCCATAGATAGAAATCTAGTGATCTACAACTGATTTTACCACTGTGAGCTTCTCTGTGGCCTTTACAGTTCCAGTCTACAGCTAATTGTCTGAGGTGATCATCATCTAGGAGGGTTTTTTTAAATCATTTGCTATTGCTATTTCAAATACAGAAACACTGTCTGGAATTAATGTATTAGGTCGTAAGCAGGGAGCAACACTGCATATCGATATATTGTGTATATAGCAATGAGTAAAAGACTGATCCTTGATATTGCCAACAGTTATTAAAGTCAAGTAAGGAAAGAAGTGAAAGAGATGGCTTCTGGAAGAGCGCTTGGTAGTCTCACACTATATGTTGCCCTGAATAAGCTGGAAACCATTCAGAGACTATAGGGATAAATGACAAATTCATAGGATATACACATGTAAAATGCTATAATTAACACTGCTCTGTGTTTTCCTGTTATTGTCATCATTACTATTTTTCATTTGCATCACCATAGAGCTCAGAGACAATTTGAGAACTTGTGGCTAGATGTGTTAGATGCTGTATAACTGTAGGAGGCAGACATATAAACCCAGATTGAGCCTTCCTAACTTGAGTAGTATAAAGGTAAACCTGTAGCATAAGTGAATCACCTAGACCCTCTGTTGTAAATAGAAAAGACAGAAATATGCCCAGAAGGCAAGTTTTCCGTCTTTCTTAGGCCTCTTCCTTAGGCAGAGGTGAGACACTGATGAAACGAGTCCCTTCCTTTTTCTTCCCATTAACTATTGCTGGAGCTTGAATGATTAGTCAACCATTCAATGGTTAACTGTGGTAAGGCAGTGAAACTTATCCTTGCTCGAGGATCTTAAAAACAGTTATGGCGAAACAGGGAAGTCTTTCCCTGTGCTGAAAGTGTGACATGGCCACCCTGGTTGGACTGAAGGCAGAAGCTTCTTTCATGCAGCCTTGTCTTCTACCATTCCCATTGGCAATTCATTTAGAGGTAAAATATATCCAACAAAATCTTTTTAATTAGAAGGAAAATGTTGATAGAAGATGAAAAATTAGGGCCCAGCAATCTTGCCTCACTCAGACATTCTGACTCCGGTTTGTGTCTAGGGGCCCAAGACAAATGCCCGCATAGACCAAAGCCATCTGCTTGCCCTTGGTTCAGAAATGCAGGCACCTCTTGTGTTTGTTTCTCCTGCATAGCAAAGTTCACGTTTTCAATCACACAGCTTAAAGAGAGAGATGTTTTATTATATTTATGGGAAGTAAATACACTTCTAATATGTTCATACTAAGACGCTTTGGTTATATCTTTCTGCCCCTTTTTAGTAAATAGTTTAATCTCCTGTGATAGTTTTAAGCCCTGAATTTGACAGTGCAGCTTATCCTGGATAATAACTTAGTAACCACAACATCTTATGCCATCTGTATAATATCAAATACATTTTTATACCGGCATTAATAAACCTTAGTTACAAAAATCTGAGATATTAACTATATCAGTGCCAAGCACACACTCCAGGATCTGACAGTATAGCTCTGCCATGATCGCCCCAGTGTTTTTTGGCTTCATTGTTGATAACGTAACTATAGCAATGAAACAGAGCTACAGTAATCAAGTTTAATGACCAATGTAAAGTAAAATGCTAAATATTGTAGTTGCTGACATTTTTCATAATAAAAAAACTTGGGTTAAGTCTGCACAACCAACATTCACATAAAATTCCAGACCTCTGTGACAGATGGCTTCGGAAAGGAAGCCATGTGACTGGGCTGCAGTAGTTTTATAGTGCAAAACCCATAAATAGTGCAGATTCTCTGTCACTGACAAAATATCAACTACTCAGAAGGCAACAGAGACAACAAAAAGGACCAAAATCAATCCAGGTCCCCTCCTCGATGACATTGTGTGTAGAAACATATCGGGAAATATATTGTCTCTGAGAAACAGATAACGTTAGCCACAACAAGAAGCTCTAGCTGATAAGCAGAAAATTTACTAACATGGATATTTAAATCTTCCTCAGCTCTTTCCTGAAACTCACGTAGAAGTTGGATTGTCCAACATGTACCTAATTCCACTCAGGGAAGGCTGGGTTGTGTGTTTGTGAAGTAGCGTACAGATGGGGTTTAAGTGAGCTCACAGATGCACACAACAATTAAATATAGTCATGGAAAAAATATCCCCTTTTGCCCATCGCAGGATGGATCACACGTTTACAGCATGGCGTTTTATTCAGAATGGTATAAAAGAGCTATCACTTCCTGCCTTTGTAGCAAACTCCAAATGGCAGAGTAAAAAGGGAGGATAGTCAGAGATACTGCTCCAGTTT